AGGTTGTTTTTGACAGAATGTTCAATTTTTGCTATGTTGGTCCTACTCATCCATGAGCATGGGATATCTTTCCATCTTCTGAATCTTCTTTGATTTCTTTCTTCAAAGACTTGGAGGTTTTTTTTTTTTTAAATCATACTAATCTTTCACTTGGTTGGTTAGAGTTATCCCAAAATATTTTATATTATTTGAGGCTATTGTGAAAGGTGCCATTTCCCTGATTTCTTTCTCAGTCTATTTATCATTGTATATAGGAGGGCTACTGGTTTATGTGGGTTAGTTTCGTATTCAGACACTTTGTTGAAAGTGTTTGCTGTAGGAGTTCCCTAATGGAATTTTTAGGATTACTTATGTCTACTATCATAGGACTTCTCAGGATGGAGAATTTGGGAAATGTTAGATTAAAATATTTATATAGAAATATTCAAAACACAGACATTCTGAGACCCTTTAATATACAGAGTACCCAATGATCTACTTATAAGGGTTTACAAAGTATAACAATTAACAAAACTGTCTTACAAAGGCTCATTTTCTCAGAGTGTCATTGGGATAAATGCTCTGGGCCACCAATTAGAAGCTGTGATTAAATATCTGTGGATGTGTTTTAGAAACAAAATGTTCTTTGGGGTTAAAAGCAAATGACCTTGCTGGCAGGGGACAGTCAACATAAGACCAGCGACACCTAGGAGAAAATGAAGGACGGGGTACAGAAACGGACGCAAGACAAGATTCTGATCAAGCTGACAACCTTTATTCATCCCAAAGGGATTTTTGTAAGACCGTAGGCGGGAAGTGAGGAGGGGAGGGAATGGGGTGTTGACTGCAGCTGCGATGAGCCTGGCGGAGCAGAGGTCAGTGGGAGAGTTAGGTCATCCTGTGTCACCTGGTGACCTCACTGCAGGCTCTAACTTTGTCTTTCACAGTCTACCCTCTATTTCTCAAGCCTACGCCCGAGTGACTTGGTAATTTTCACTAGATGGACAGCTTGCTTCCTATCTTAAGAGGCGGTATTTCTACAGTGTGGCCTGGAGTCATGTCTTCTCTATGAGGAGGGCATGATAATGCTATGGCTGGATTATGGTGGAGGTCCCTGCCATGGAAGGGAGAGAGGGAAGAGTAGAAGAGGGATGGGAGGGAGGAAGGAAGGAAGGGAGGAAGGGAGGAAGGGAGGAAGGGAGGAAGGGAGGAAGGGAGGAAGGAATGGTGGGGGGGAGAATGATGTACTATTTTATACATGGTAGTAACCTCACTAGACCTTTTATACAGGATTCAAACAGCAAAAACTATAACGATTCTCACTATAACCTCCCATGACAAATACAAATGGATGCTTGAGTTCTGGCACCAATTATCAGTCAATTTTATACAAAGTGGCACTGTCAAAATAAAAAAATTGACCCTGAGAGTATATTAAAGTATAAAAGAAAGTCCAAGGGGACATTGAGGGTGTACACATGTGCATAATGTCTACAGGAATTTCTAGAGAAACAAGGTGGTCAGTGAAACAGACAAAATAAGGGTAATTAATCATTCCTTGAGGAAAAGAGTTCTGAGATCTCTCTCCCATGCAATCATACTGTCTCATCTCTGGAAGGGATTTCTTTGCTAGGAGAATACTCATCAAGCTGTGCTCGCATCCAAACCCTGAAGCTATCATGCAGCAAAGAATCCAATGAGTAAACTGATGTTTATCTCTTGCAGTATCCACAAGGTTGAATAATCTTGAATCATGTTGACTCTGTCTGGGTAATTGAAAATTGAGATTCTAGATGCATGGAATAGGGTCAAACAAACACCGTCAGGTCCGTTTTCCAAGACAACTCAGCACACCTCCCTCCACTACAAGTCTGTGTCCTCATGGGGTTTCTTTTGGGCTTGCAATCTCTTGGGGACGAGCTTTTTCATTTTGATCTATTGTGGGAAAACTGACAGACACGGTGCTCCTGGGAGCGCTCAGTTTTTCAAATGCCATGAAAGGCCACGGTGAGAGTCACTGTAGCTCCGTTTACCACCTCCTGGGACAAAGCACCCAGTGACAAATCTGGCTGTGAAGCATATGGTTCAGTAATTCCTTCCGGCTAGGCATCACAAGGCTATGCCCATGAGTGCTGAGCTCCCTTGCGAGGACATACCTAAAGCATGGTATGAGTTCTGAATGAGTAATGAGGCCTTGTTTTGGTGGTGAATTTGCCTTTGAATCACCTTTTAATAGTTTTCCTTTGTGGTGTGAGTGTGTGTGTGTGTGTGTGTGTGTGTGTGTGTGTGTGTGTGTGTGTGTGTAGATGTCAGAAACCTTCTACAGTCACTCTCCACCTCGGTCTCTGAGATAAGGTTTCTCACTTTGTCTAGACTGGCCAGTCAGCAAGCCACAGGGGTCTTTCTGTCTCCACGTCTCCAGCACTGAAATTACAAGGTCACGCTATACCCAGCTTTTCCCGCAGGAGGTAGGCCCGCGAGGTCAGGCCCTCTTCATTGCGTGACAAGCCCTTTACAGACTGAGCCATCTCCTCACCTTATAAACCTTTTCACTTGTCAACCCATCTCTGCAGCCACCTGGAGGAGGGCGGAGGCCGCCTCTGCTGCACTTCTGGGCTGCCTTGCAGTCGCTGTCCCCAGAAAGACGACTGTCACCTTTTGCTCTTCAAAACAAGAATGGGCCCGTGGCTTTCCACTGGGTGTCCTTCTTGTAGTCTGTGTCACAAGGAGAGAAGGCGATTTGTCCTTTTTGACCTAGAACATGAAAGACTGTTCACACTAAATAGGCCTATAAACAGGTGTATTCCACCTCAACTGTATTTATTATTTTTTTTTACTTTGAGTGGCTATCCATTCCACCCTGTCCCTGTCCAAGGAGCGTGAGGAAATGAGGGAGAGAGGTCAGCTAGAAAGGAACAATGTATCAAATATTAAAGAGCTGAGGTCAAAGCATTATAGTTTATTACCATCATGATTCACAGGATATATGGGCCATTAAAACTCCAATACTGTACCATATTATTGTGATAAAGGTTGTAATGAGAACAAGGAATGACACCAAACGAATCTGTCCCCTTGGCACTGATGATAACATGAGCAAGAAAAGGCATAAACAAAGCCAGTTCCTGTCACAGAATTAAAACGAGAATCTGACGCACCTGTCCTGAAGCCCAAGACTCTTAGCGGTATGCAAATAAGGGCAGGGATATCATCAAGAAGATGAATATGTCGTTTTAGTAGACAATGGAAGGCAATTGTTCATTCTTAATGCTGCAACATGATAGCTATCCCTAGCCTTAGCCAGCCCGTTTTTAAATGTCCCGCCTCCACCGCTCACGTTTGTGATGGATTGGTATTTGCGTGTGTTTAATCTCACGCTGGCGTCAGAAGCCCAGTTTTACGTTTATTAGTGGTGTGATCCTTATCCCAGACTTCTCTCATAGACAAAACGGGGTGAAGAGAATTTTTACTGCAAGGGAACTGTGTGAAATCCAACAGAGAACAGAGAGAAGAAGGGGGAAAAGTCAGCTATTAGTAATGGCAGTCATAATGAAAGGAGTTTACTCTCCTCGCCTCAGCTCAACCCACAGTACCAAGGCACTTTTAGATGCTCCGAGTTCACACCTGTGAAGTGACCCTCACGTGGCACTTTCCTCCCTGCATTGTTTGGGAAGATGGAGTTCGTCTTGGAATATATCTGAAAATGATTTCCACATGAATTTATCAGGCAACGTGCTAGGCAAACTTTACCTGAGGGTTATTTGTTGGGCACATGAGCTAACTGAGTTAACTGCTCAAAGTCGGAGGGCTTAGCTGGGTGACAGGAGCACCCTACTGGTCCTGTCACACTGCACCTGCCCGCAGTGACCCTACAAAGAGACGCTTTTAGCTCTGGTAGGAACTCTCAGCCTCCCTGTTCCCTGTGCAAACTGACTCCGCTTCCTTCTTTTCTCCCAATACTGAGGTCGTTTCACTGTCTGGTGTGGGAGAATGTTGTTTCAAGAATGTAACAAATATTTGTCTAATGTCAGAGGTGTGTGTGTGTGTGTGTGTGTGTGTGTGTGTGTGTGTTCCTCTTTCCTTTGGAGAGCAGGGTTTTAGAGATTGTTGTACATTCTTGGACAGGCCATTGGTTTTTGGCCCATGATAAGGCAGTACATGACAAGAACACATGACGGGACAAAGACGCTGACCTCATGGCCAGGAAGCAGAAGGAGAGGAAGAGGACAAGGTCCTACAGCCCCTCTCAGTAACCCAATAATGTCCCTCCCACTGTGCCCATCTCATGAAAGTATTGCTTTCTCCCCAAAGCTCTATCTTGGAGATAAAGCTTTGAACACATGTCCTGGGAGACACATTAAAATACAAACTCTCTTGGCATTCTACACATACAGCCAATAGGCTTTTCTTCTTAGCAATTTCTGTGGAAATTCTCAATTGTGGTCATGCCTGAGACCCCAGCTCCTAATCAAAAGAGTAAAATCATAAGAACAGATTCATCTACACTTAGAGAAACGTCATTTGGAAAGTGAATGTGTAATTGAAAGACCTTTCGGGAATGTTTCTAAACACTTTAATTACTTGTTAGGATCAAATCTGCCCTCTATTCCCTTCCCTTCCATGCCCAGTGACACTCTTTCTTCTCAACCTCATGTGCTCTCTCTCTCTCTCTGTCTCTCTCTCTCTCGTGTGTGTGTGTGTGTGTGTGTGTGTGTGTGTGTGTGTATGTATTCCGAGTCCATTCAGTGCTATCTGCATGCGCATGGGTATGGATGTGGAGCATAGGCAGCCTCTCAGGGCCTATGGTCCTGAACAAAGACAACTCCCCTTCCCCAGCAGCCGTCAGTTGCCTACAGCTCCTTAGATAGGGTAGAGCATCATGAGCCGCTCCCGCACTGAGCTGGGATTTTGGCTGGCCTGGCTTTGTGCAGGTCTCATGCGTACAGTTCTAGCTACTATGAGGTCATATGTACAACTGAGCTGTCACATCCAGCAAATACTATTTCACTGCAGACATGTACTCTTTCGGGATCTCAGTCCTTCTTGCCCCTCCTTCCGTGATAATCCTCCTGCCTTATAGGAAGGGATGTGATGTAGATGTCCTGTTTGGAGCTGAGCGCTCCAGTCTCTGACTTTTCTAAGTGTTGAGCAGTTGTGAGTCTGTATTAATGGCCATCTGCTGCAAAAAGCTTCTCTGATGAGAACTGAGAGATGTACTAATATACGGGTATAAAGGTAAGAACTTAGGGGCCAGTTTATCACCATGCCAACCTTTCTTAGGGCCTATGACCCACCTAATAAGTCACAGAGTTCACCTCATTTAACGGTGCCAGGCATGGACTCCATCTTGTGGGGTGACTTTAAGTCCTTCTGTTGCCTCTTTATTGTGTCTTTTTTTAAGCTTTTACTTATTTCTAGTGTTGGGGATGGAACACAGGATCCTGTACGTGTGAGGCAACTGTCGAACTTCCGAGCTTTCTCTCTCTCCACCTGTAATGTGAGTAGGCCCTGGATTTACATAATGAAGGCACTGTGTCTCTGCTTTTATAGCCTTAGAGCTCACCACCCGTCACTGAACACACTGTCCAAAGGACTTACCATCTTTGTTCTACCTTGAGTTAAATCTTGTCACTCATGTGGGGCCCATTCCACAGATGGTTGATTTAGCCCCACGACACCCATCTTAACTCCGAGGTATGCATAGCACATTCATCCTGTGGCAGCCTCTCCCCGAGTGCTCAACCGATCTATTTTACAATTACCTTAGCCCCAACCAACGCCAGAAAGCAATTCAGGATCAAAGATTAAATCTGTACGCTCATGCCAATCATCTGCAAATGCTTTGAACTGATTTATGTTTAAGTCACCACAAAGTTAAGTGATAAAATATGGGACAGATACCCCAGTATTACAGATAAAATAGTCTGAGTGGATTAATATCAGTGGGCAAAAAGCCCTAACCATACCCCACATATACTGTACCCTTTAATAATGTAGCCCTTTCTTTTCTTATGATCATTTGGCTCAGAAGTTGGCAGACTTCTGCTGTAAAGGGCCAGGTCATAAATATTTAAGGCTTTACCTGCCAAGAGTCACAATCAAGGATGTTGTGAAGGGAACTTATGTAATCACTTAAAACGAAACCATGGGGCAGGGCAAGGCAGAGCAAAGAACACACTGGATTGGGCCAATTCTAGCTGTAGTTGGCAGATCCCTGACTTAGCTGTGTGTCATTTGCCATCAGCAACTCAACTAGCTGAATCCAGCGTGAAAGGGTTCTTTCTCTAAATTGTTTGGAACATCATACACTCTTGACTTGTTTTAAGACACGAGGGGACGGACCCTCACACAGACCTTACCAAACTCCTTCCAGTGAGTGACTGGAAGGTTGGCTGTATTCCACTGTTTCCCTTTGAAATGTTTACTACTGCAGTGTTTCAGTTTTCTTCCATGACCTATTTAAAAGAAAACACATTTTCACTGGGCCTTTAGTCTTCCCCAAGCTTGGCACCCTTTAGGATCTTCTAAAAGAATGGTGGGGGGCTGATTAGTCCAAGCTTGTTTGCAGCCGGGGAGGAGCGTTCTTTGGTAGATGTTGGCCTAAATGATTAGAGTTGTTTTAACATATTAATATTTTTGAGTAACTATTTATTTCCCTGTAGATCTGAACTTTGGGGAGCCAAGCTTTCTTAGAGAGGGTAACTTCCACAGAATTACACATGCTTGTGAGTCCTAAATCCTTAAAGTTAGTGAGATCATTCTGGGGTCTCCTTGTCTCCACATTCAGATTTCAACTCCAGCAGGGATGTCCGGAGCTGAAAGGAAGCCCTAGTCTGCCTCCCCCCAGAGTCTACTGCTGTCTCCACAGCCTGTCTTTGCAGTAGTTAACCTGCCTCATTATGAAGAATCAAGACTAGTCTCAGTACACCATCTTACTATTTTTGCATCTCCAATTTAAATTTCACTGGCAATAAATATTAAAATAATGAATATCCTCTGCTACATTACTGCTTCTAAGGAGAATGGAGTCTTCCCCCTGAGTATGGCGGTACTCAGCGTCCTCTTGGTCCCGGACACTAACTTCAGGGCTTTACCCTAGCCAGGATCTGTTTGGTGCATTCTTTTCTTTTTGCCTCATCTCTCCTCTGGTCCTATATGTATGTGCTTCATTTTTATTAATTAGTTTATTTATTTTACATCCCAACCACAGCCTCCCCTCTCTCCTCTCCTTCTACTCCCTTCCCCTCCCTCCCCCATCCACCCCTACTCTGTATTCACTCAGAAAGGGGCAGGCCTCCCTTGAGCATCAGCAAAGCCTAGCATAGTGAGCTTCCATGAGACCAAGCACATCCCCTGTGTTAAGGCTGGGCAAGGCAATGAAGAATAGGTTCCCAAGAGTCATCAAAGCACCAGGGACAGTTCCTGCACCCACGGTTAGGAGTCCCTGTTCAACAGCTGCATGTGCTGTACGTCACAAACACTTGGAACTGCCATCCTATTTTGAACATCTGATATTTCCTTCCCTCTCTCCCCTCTCCCTTCCTTCTCCTTCTAGAAATTTTTTTTGTTCATTTTTCCTACATAACCATAAGAATTATTTTTTATGTAATGTAAACACACACGTAGAAACCATATTCAATTTTTGTTATGCTCATCTTTTTTTCTTTGCTAGGATTTAACCTACAACCACCCATTACTGAGATACATCTCCAAGCTTCTTTTACATCTTTGATTTTGAAATTGAAGTCCTACTAAGTTGCCTAGGCTAGTCTTGGACTCATCTTGTAGCCCAGGCTAGCCTTAGACTTGTGTGATCTTTCTTCCTCAGTCGCTTGTAGCCCAGGCTAGCCTTAGCTTTGTGTGATCTTTCTTCCTCAGTCACTTATCTCCTCCCACCGTGTGGGTTCCATGGCTTGCACTCAGGTTTCCAGGCTTGGTGGCACGTGTACACACTGAGCCGTCTCTCTGGCGGGGTTCTTCCTTCTCATTTTTTGATGCTCAGCGCGTTTCCCAGTGTCTTTCAATGGAGGTCAATACAATGCTGTCTTACTTCCCCGGTGTTAATTTGACATCATGAATATTTCATATTAAATGTTAATATTTTAACAAGCTGACAGCTTGCTCCAAACTTCACAATGACTGATTTATTTCATGCATTCTGTCACAGTGTTTCATGCGTTTCCATTTGTGTTTCTTTGCTTTCTTCCTTGATTTCTCTTATCAGTGGAATTCATTAATGACTCTTTCTTTACCAACTTGTGATTAGTTTTAATTCTTTGGTACAAATGCACAGTTTTATGGATTTCCTGTCTTAACACATGCCTTGCAAACAATACAAAAGTTGTTGGAATTATTTTTCATTCTGATTTTCCATTTCCATCACCTGTGCTATTTTTTTTCTTGTCTTAATTTTACTTTAAAAAAAACCATTTGGGTCTCTCAGTTTTACTGTTACATTTTTATGACCAATATGAATTTTTAGTTACCAAAGCTTGGGAAGCATAACTGCTCACTTGCATTTCGCTGTCTGGTTCTGCTTGTCTCTTCCTAAACCGGGCCCTTTAGCAGTTATGTGTTAAATCCCCATGAATAGCAATTTTTTCAGGTGTTTGTGAACATGGCTTTCAACCAACCTCTCTTGAGCGGCTGCAATGCTGGTGATGAAACTCTAAGCTGACAGTTACTTTTCTTTAACAATCTGAGGACATTATTTTACATGTTTTGGCAGCAATTGCTATTGGCAAGTCAAATAACCATTAGTAGTCACATTCAAGTACTAAAACGTAGAACGGTGGAAAAGGTAGAACGATTTCAAATGACACATCTGTCCAATAAAATGTGCCACATAGCATCTCAACCAATGTTTACGAATGCTTGTGAGGTTGTTGGACAGAAGCTCACAAATATATAAGACCCTGTAACAATATATATCAGCTGTAACTAATCTCTTTGGCAAAGAAAATGAAGCTGGCCCATGGCAAGACCAAATGGAGAGGACTGAGAGAAGGGAATGTCGAGATTGTCTAGGAGAGAAAACGGGCCCAGTTTCAAAGCTGTATTGTTGTGCCAAGCGAGGCACGTGTGATTCGACAGCAGCCTTTGAAACACCAGAGAAGTAGAAAAGAAGAAGCAATAGCAAGCTGCACCACTTAAAAAGGACACATGGGATAAAGAGATTCGCTGCAGGGCTGGGAGAGTCAGGGCTAAGGCAGTCAGGGGTCTGGGAAGGAAGGTGTGGCAGGATGGAATAGGAAAGGGAGGCTGGGCTAGACAGGTGCAGGATGGGAAAGCTGATCAGAGCAGAGCCAAGGAAGGACCCCGGGACCGGGCTTAGGCACTGGGGAGAATGGTGGTGTCCTCTCCAGAGAAAGATCTAAGTTAGCACACCATAACTGGAGCATCCTTCAGGAATGCTGTGGGAAAGAGGCTGGGTGTGAGGACCAGAAGCTCATAGCTGAAATGTCTACTTTCAAACACCAGCCGAGACCAGAAAGCCCTAGAGGCAAAGAACGAGGAGTGGAACAGGACAAAAGAGAGGGGAGCCTCTTCAGGAAGGTTGTTCTAGGTGGTCCGGAGAATGGGCTTCCAAGAACAGGTGGAGGCATCCATCCTAGACAAAGACGCTTCATCTTCTCCCCTAAACGCCAGCCAGTTCTGTAGATACAGTGCAACTAAGCTAAAGGCAGTCTTATTTGATGGCAGCTAATTCTCCTGCAAAGTAGGAGGCAGACCATTTGCTGGGAATTAAAGAAAATAATTAATTTCCTAGGCTGCCTGGAAGTTCCTAATTTATATTTCTATGGAACATATGCCATACCCTTAGGACCTCCCTGGGAACCATTACTAATTAAGGCATTTTAATAGGCCAACTGTAAGTGCTAATCTTCGTCATTTATTTCCTAATTTATGCTGCTTTCCAGCAAGGAATTTGTTATGTTATTTGGCAAAGCTAGACACCCATCCCTCTCTAATTATTGACACAGACATCCTGCGTGCTTATCTACCAGGGATTTTCCTATTGGCCTTTATGAATTTGATGGGTGCTGCCGGGCAGACAAGCTGCATTTATAAGGTAATAAATAGATTTCTATTTCATTGTTTTCATGTAACATTTGTTCTTAGCCAACAAAAGTAACTAGGTCAACAAGAGGATTTCTGTATGATCAATCTGATTCCAACCAAAAGCGATGGAGGATGACATCTGTTGCCTTGTGCCATACTCCCAAGGCCAGATGTATGCTGCCTCTTGGGCTAAAAATGTTGAAAACAACATTGGCATCATTTTATTCCAGTCCATAGTTACTAGGCTCTGGTTTCCTGTGTTGTGGTGAGGCCAGAACATTATCATAGGGCTGAGCATTGCTAATCACCTCAAGATAGATGGGGAAAAGTTAGGAGAGAGGGAGGCGGGAGGGAGACAGAGACAGAGACAGGGAGAGACAGATTGGCTCCCAAGTGCACATCACCCATGATCCACTCCATCAACTAGGTTTCTCCTACTAAGTTCAGTCTCCTCACCAAAGCCCGCTGGGTTGCACTCCATCAACTAGGTTTCTCCTACTAAGTTCAGTCTCCTCACCAAAGCCTCCTGGGTTGCGAATGATCAGTGGATCAATCCACAGATGAGGTCAAAGCCCTCAGAACCCAAAGCTTTGCCTCTGGCCATTGCTGCATTGGAGACCAAACTTTCAACATATTGCTCGTGGGGGACCCTTCATACCCAAATCATGACAACATATCTGAAAAGGATAGAAACTGGAACTTGAAGGAATGACATGGTATTCAGGGAAGAATTGTGACAAGGGACCCCAGTTAAAAAGGGGACCAGGAGGCCCCACAGAAGTGCCACTTGAGCAAAGGTTTAAGTGTGATTAGGATTTAATTAGAGGTAGGCAGGGGCAGGAGAGGTTTCTAGGCAAAAAGAGAGGACATTTGAATTCTGGTTATTCCAGCGAGGTCTCCCTACCCCTCCAGGGTGCCTGGGAAGCAGACAGGCTCTTAGGTAGCTCAGAATACAAAGTAACCATAAGGTATGATTCTCAGTTGAGGTTCATTTCAGGCCCGTTCATTAACTTGCCAGGATGACTTCAGCAAAGGGTGACTCACTTACAGTAAACATCTCCCTTCTCATAGCCTTTTAATTAAATCCTGAACAAAGAGGTGACAAGAGGAGCCAGAGTGACCTGCTTTGGCCACAAAGGTGCTATGGCTTCCCTGTGCATGCTTGTCACAAAGGCACAAACCCGTTGCTTGGGATGAACTTGCGAAACCCAATTACAGTGATGAGAAAATTAGGGCGTGATTCGCCCTGTCCCTCCCAGATGACTGGTGAGTCACACAGGTGTGCCATCCAGCCAGCACAGCCAGGGAGCCAGAGGAAAACCTGTGGCTGTCAGTGTTCAATGCCCCACAGACTTTGAGGGAGAAGTTCTTCAGCATGGCCCAAGTTCCAACATGACACTTACAGGTCAAACCGCAGTGATTAGAGCTAATGTTTGTTCAAGAAAAGCAGCAAGAAACCAACACACGTCATGCTTTCAGTGGGCAGTGCTTAACAGGCATATCCCACATCCCTGAGGCATCTTACACAGCTGTTTCTGTGTTTTTCAACCATTTGTCTCCTGAGGAAGGAGTGACTCTGCTAAATCTCAGAGACACTCCTGACCAGTGAGTAAGGCTAGCTAAAGCCAACATTTTGGAAGGTGCATTTGCTCTCTATCCTGTCCAAGTCTCTCATTCTTCACAACATCACTTTAGACAGTCTATCCCTTTTTAGACAAATATGTTGTCAGATATGTTTACAACTGGGGACCCAAGTCATTATAGAATACACACACATATATATTGTACATGTGTGTTTTATGCATGCATACACACGTGGTGATCTTACTTGTGCAAATAAAGCCTGTCTAAGGGTCAGAGAATGGAGTTTGCCACTAGCTAACTGTAGAGGTCTGGAGGTCTGTACACAGACAGGAAGTGAGGTGGCT